CTTTCTCTTCCTGGACAATCTTGCTGAACCGTGGGCCTCCATTCAGGCTCTATTAAAACATACAGAAAAAACTACAGGAATGAGGATAATAACAAAAAGACATTTATTGTACTCCATCTGGGTGGTACAAAAAAATACAGAAATCAATAGCAGTATAAGTCCAGATATTGCAAAGAGTATTTCATAACACGGAGTTGCACAAAATATGAAATATCCCTGTGTCAGGAGAATTGGCTGTGGTGCAAACTATTCGGCCATGTTGAAGATAAATGTCCAGATGTCTTTCTGATCTTCACAGGCCGGGCTAAAGGGGTGAAGAACATGAAATCTGCCAAGAACATGTGCAAGTCCAATATGAGAAATTACATTCTGCATAAGGAAAATAAAATGTAATTTAAATGTAATGACAATTTGAAAATGTTATTAACATTTTTTTTTTTACATTTTTGTTTGATTCCGTATTGACAGAATGGCTTTTCTTTCTCTTCCTGGACAATCTTGCTGAACCGTGGGCCTCCATTCAGGCTCTATTAAAACATACAGAAAAAACTACAGGAATGAGGATAATAACAAAAAGACATTTATTGTACTCCATCTGGGTGGTACAAAAAAATACAGAAATCAATAGCAGTATAAGTCCAGATATTGCAAAGAGTATTTCATAACACGGAGTTGCACAAAATATGAAATATCCCTGTGTCAGGAGAATTGGCTGTGGTGCAAACTATTCGGCCATGTTGAAGATAAATGTCCAGATGTCTTTCTGATCTTCACAGGCCGGGCTAAAGGGGTGAAGAACATGAAATCTGCCAAGAACATGTGCAAGTCCAATATGAGAAATTACATTCTGCATAAGGAAAATAAAATGTAATTTAAATGTAATGACAATTTGAAAATGTTATTAACATTTTTTTTTTTACATTTTTGTTTGATTCCGTATTGACGGAATGGCTTTCATTACTGGATAACATTAATGACAATGAAATATTTTTTGTGTTGCAGTAATGAGAATTTAAAATGTGGGGAGAGAACGTGCATAATTGCAATTAAAATGAAGGCAAAATGCAAATAAAATAGGTTTAAATTTGCGATAACACTGAAGTGCTGTCAAATGATTAATCGCGATTAATCGCATCCAAAATAAAAAAAATTTGTTTACATAATATATGTATGTGTACTGTGTATATTTATTATGTATATTTAAATACACACACATACTGTATATATTTTGAAAATATATATGTATATATTTCTATTCTTATATTTTATATTATATATAAATTTAATATATAAACATAACATATTTTTATTAAATACATACATGCATGTGTTTGTATTTATATATACACAATAAATGTACACAGAATACACGCATATATTATGTAAACAAAAACTTTTATTTTGGATGCGAAGAACATGAAATCTGCCAAGAACATGTGCAAGTCCAATATGAGAAATTACATTCTGCATAAGGAAAATAAAATGTAATTTAAATGTAATGACAATTTGAAAATGTTATTAACATTTTTTTTTTTACATTTTTGTTTGATTCCGTATTGACAGAATGGCTTTCATTACTGGATAACATTAATGACAATGAAATATTTTTTGTGTTGCAGTAATGAGAATTTAAAATGTGGGGAGAGAACGTGCATAATTGCAATTAAAATGAAGGCAAAATGCAAATAAAATAGGTTTAAATTTGCGATAACACTGAAGTAGCAACAGACATTTTCTTATGTACTGTAATAATTGTAAAAAGAGGAGCAGGTTTTAAACGGACTAAATGATTGGGAAAGTCCAACAAAAGTCTGATGTTTTACCGGAAGATTGAATTATTATGACATTTCGATAAAGAATTACAAGGTCAACTTTAAAAAAATTAAACATGCATGGATGAATTATTCACAATAAGATCAATAACATTGCATTTAGAAAATTGACTTTATTTTTAGTTTTTTTTTTATTATATAAATTTATATTTATATAATTTATATAATTATATAAAATTATATATATAATTCCGTATATCCCTTGGTGGAAATTGGATTCCATAAATTTTAGCTAAAAATCTGAAGAATTTATATATA